AAATAAACATCCTTTGAATTCATTTTAACACCAGTTACAACCGTTGTATTCGAATTTCCGAAGGGGAAAGTGAACTTGTAGGAGGATAGAGGAGCATGCAGGGGTCCACTGCATGATAGAAGACTACTGAGAGATTGCCTACATTCTGTAGATAACAAAAACCTATTGCACCACAATGCATTGTTGGACTTACAGTATTTTAATATAAGAGAAAAGAAAAAAACTGAAACTACAATTTGGTTGGATACCTATGATAATACAAATCGGAACAAGAATCACAAAAACCAGGAAGTGTATGAAGCAACAAATATGGTACTAGTCTGTTCCAAGTTGACGAACTTTCTATTTTGGGACGTCCGAGAACATTTGACACCATTTTGCTAGTATCTTCGCAATTTTCAAGATACTCTAATTCCTTTTTTTGAAAAGAATATAGACTTTGGACCTAACTCAACCTCAAAAGCTCGCTCATAAGGTGATGGTTGTTTATTCACTATATAAGGAGACAACAGTCCGCTCTCTCCACCAATTTGGGACACTTTAACACTGCCACATGCTGAGGCAGTGGACGCCTGGAGTGTGGATAACATAACATGCGGGCCCAACTTGGAGAAACACAAAGTCGACCTTACCCTACCACAACCTCAAGAACTAGCTCACGAGGTGAGTAACTGAGGATTGCTTGATACCATAGGAGAAAACACTTCATTCCCTCAACCAATGTGCGACACTATAACATTATCTGATAATCCTTTTTATCAAATTACCTTTTAAAGGTCTTGGGTATGGCATGTGGGATGCCTCCTCGCTGTACGGTTGTTCGACGAATTGGCCGATATCCCGTTTTGGTAGCAGTTTTAGGGCACCCGGTATCTTATTGACTCTTTCTTGATGTTCCCTCATCTGGTTGCAGAGTTATTTGTTCTCGTTTTTTATTTCTTCCATTTTCCTTAGAATGGCCGCAAGTGCATCATTACCTATATCAACAACGGTGTGAGTGTTACCTGTTGGGGGAGCGGGTTGTTCACCGACGGCCGCTGTGGTATCTGTTGGCGCGGCGTTTCTATTCGCCCTTTGAACAGGTTTGTCGAGTATGTTATTTAGAGTAGTTGTCAGCCACTCCTCCAGTAATTTTTTCACTGTTGGTGGCGCTTCCTCAGCTGTGGACGTGGAAGCTCCCCTTTCGCGTGAAGCGGTTACACTTCCATGAGGGGGAGGTAAATCACTTCGCCTGGGTGTAGCACTCGAGGTCACATTCTCATTGTCTTCTATGTCATCCTCGTTGATGGTGTTTAAGATGTTGGTAATGACACCCACTATTGCTTTCTGTCTTTCATCTCCTTTTCCTGCCATTGTTAGTTCGTGCAAACGAGGAAAAGATAGTTGTCCTTCTTTATGATCTAGAAGAAACTAAAATTTTAACTAAAACCTCCCCACAGACGGCGCCAAATTATTTGACCAAAAGGTGTCAAGCTTTTTGTTAAACTAATTAATAATGAAATAGAGAGTGAATCCTAGTTAAACATAATAAATTCTAGATCTAATACTGGAGAACACCAACGGTATGGACAATGTTTAAAAATAATGAATATCGGGTATGAGCTCAATGATTGTCAATAAATATATGATAAGAACATGCAATAAATGTAGACAATTGCAATAAATATAATAAGAGGGGATTTATCACCCAAATATTATATGACTTGGATGATTCTTCCACCTGACAGTAGCATGGAAGGATGGGATGTGAGGATGGATAAGGAATCTTTGGATCTTACAAACGTGGATTGAATAGCATATGTTGAGCAATGTTGTCAATGAACAAGACAACTTTTGTATATTCTTTATAGTCAACTCTTTAAAATGTGCTCTTATCAAAAAGTGAAGATCCCCCCCCCCCCC